TGGATCCAAGGGTGTTTTCTATAGCTTTGAGGCTCGGGCAACAACATGGGCAGAGAAGATGTCGAGGTACGGGATGCACAGCTTAGGGGCTGTGCGGCTTTAGGGCCTACACAACCAGCATGAAGGAGAAGGGGGGCCAACGCGATCAGTGTGGAGGTGAAGGTGGCTTGTGACATCAGGAAAAGAGAAGAAAAGAGAAGGTCCTGACAAGAGGGAAGAAACCCTAAGAAGAGAGTCTAGCATAACTATAATTAAGAGGCAGACAAAAAAATATAGAACTAGTATTTAAAAAGACAATGTTAAAAAATTTGTGTGAGTTTAACATTTTGTTGTTGGAACAGTGGTGTAACCAAAATTTATAAGTAGAGGGGGCAGAAACCATAAATATATATCAACACAAAAATACAAAAATAACAATGCAAGAATATGGTTAGAAAAAGAATTATAAAATAAAGGGAAAAGGGATGAAATTACCTTTATCATCTTTAACTAAATTAATTGAATCCAATATCTAGAATTCAACATGTAAAATCATCCAAATCCAAAAAATTTAGAAACAAAAATAAATGAGACAATAATTACAAAAAAAATAAAAAGCACAAGTATAAAAAAATTTATTTTAGGACTACCACACACATCTAGTCAAAAATAATAGTTAATATGTTATTTACTTATTTATAATCTTTTTGGTTTGCGCTACTTTAATCTTGTGCAATTGTGCGTTTTATGCATTGGTAAAATAAATAATATAGTAAAATCTAAGTCTGAAATTTAAAACTAAACAATTTAAAAATGTAAAATTTAGACTCTTTTTAGTAATAATACAAGAATTAAAATAATAATTATTATAAGGAAAAATAATTTAGAGGTCAATCTTATTATATAATTTTTTATATAAATTTACATATTATTTAAATTATTAGTTCTTTTTATTCGTTTGAAATATGTAATATTAAATGTATTTACTTATTTAATAATATGTAAAAATTATATAAAAAGATTGTATTTATGTTACTACCCTTACCACAAAACAATAGTTACAAATTACAATATAATAGATTTTCTAAAAAAATAATATAATAATACAATACATTTTTGAATTTTTTAAAACTATTAGAGTATTACCTAAAAACTGTAATTTACATAGAAATTTTAATAACCCAATTGAAAGAGACTCTTGTTCCAAAAAAGAAAATTCAAGAGAGATTGTATTATTGTGTATTAGGTTTAGAATTAAAAAAAAAAAAAAACTAATGCTAATTGAAGAATAAGTAGATGGTAGAAGAAAAGTAAGTAATTAAAAGGAGTTAATTACCTAAAAAATTAAGTATAATAACGAGCTCTACAACTTTTACTCTCTTTTAAAGTTTTAAATATTTGACTAAATACATTTTTATTTAATTTTTAAGATAGACAAATACGTATACTAAATTTATTTAACTTTAAAATTTTAACACAATTTTTTTTTTCAGTATTTTGGCGGCGCCTGGGCCCCGCAGGCCCCCCTTATCTCCAGTACTGTAGCGGGACCATAACCAAGCCCTCAACAATAAGACCCAAAGTTGCTTTTGATTGTAGTATCGAAATTAAAGAAGGTGTACACTCGTATCATTTCAAATCCTTTACTACTTTGCTAATCAATAACCGAATTTGCCCATCAACCCTGTCGATCTGTGAATTCCTACCTCTCAAAATGGCCGATGCTATAATTTCCCTTGTCCTAGACCAGCTAAAAACAACCATCGTTGACGAGGTCTCTGAAAGGTGGAGCTGCTAGTTGGTGTTGAAAAAGAAGTGAGAAAGCTTGAAGAAAATCTCCATCTCATCAATACTGTGCTCCAAGATGCTGGGGAGAAGAAAAGAACGGACGGTCTTGTCAAGGAATGGCTGGACAGGCTCAAAGAAGCTTCTTACGATATGGGGGATGCATTGGATGAGTGGAGAACTGCAGTAGAGGTCGAAGCACATGAAGCCCAAAATGCTGCTTCTCAGAAGAAGGTAACCTTACATGCACTAATCTCAACCTATAGATGCATTCATTTAAGTATGATGACTTAACATCAAGTATTTCTAAAATAGTGAATCATCAATTTTAAACACGCACTATGCAAGTTCATTTCGTGCTTTTCATTTCGTCGTGTATCTATCCGTCGTGATATTGCCCTCATCATAAGGAAAATCAATCAAAGATTAGATGATATTATCAAGGAGAGAGTTAGGTATCAGTTGCTGTCCGCGTCGGCAAGGAACACAATCAATCAAACTCAACAACGGCCAGAAACTTCATCTTTTGTGGACGTGTCAAAACTCAAAACTATGTGGCCGGGTTATGGTGAAGGCAAAATTACTGGACTATTTGTGGGGAGGGAGGAGGCTGGTGAACTAATCCCTACCATATCTATAGTAGGGATGGGGGGGCTAGGGAAAACTGCTCTTGCACAACTAACATTTAATGACGATGAAGTTAAAGGGCATTTTGACAAGGTAATCTGGGTTTGTGTCTCTGACATTTTTAATGAGAAAAAAGTTGCAAGGGCAATCATTTAAGGGCTTGAAAGACTTAGTGATAATGTTGCATATGGCCTCGAGTTAGATCCATTGGAGGTCCTTCTAGAAAGGATTTCTGAATCTATCAAGGGAATAAAATATTTTCTTGTTTTAGATGATGTGTGGTATGGGGATGAAGGTGAGAGCTAGGAAGGACTGAAAACCACTTTCAAATTTGGTGCCCCAGGAAGTAGAATTTTGGTAACTACACGTGATGTTGAAGTTGGAAAAATGATGGGGTCCTCTTCCTCACAAATCATTTCTCTGGAGAAATTGGGTGACAAACAATGTTGGTCAACACTTAAACATATAGCATTAGGAGAAAGGGAAGATCAGATTTGGAGAAAATTGGGAGGGAAATTGCAAAGAAGTGTAAGGGCTTATCGCTTGCTGCAAAAACTCTAGGAAGCCTTTTAAAGTCTAAAACAAGTATACAAGAGTGGCAAAGTGTCTTGAATAGTAAAATATGGGAACTAGAAATGCCACAAAAGGATATTTTTGCTCCTTTGTTGTTGAGTTATTATGATTTGCCCCCTCCAGTAAAGCGCTACTTTTTGTATTGTATTGTTTTTCCTAAAGATTACAAGGCATCATGTGATAATTCCACAACGGATGACGATGGGTTATTTAGGGTCGGACTGTAATTCAGATTTGGAGTCAAAAGGGGAAGAGTACTTTCACATCTTAGTAGCCCGCTCTTTCTTTCAAGATCTTGTAATGGATGATGAGAAGATTATTTACTGCAAGATGCGCGACGTAGTACATGATTTTGCTCAATTTTTGGCAGAGAATGAGTTTAGGACATTGGGGATCAAGTCTGATCATTTGACTATAGATGATGAGTCAAAGCATTGTCACTTGCTCGTCACTTGACATTGATGGTTGATAAAGGGATCAATTTTCCTACGGTAATTTCTGGTACAAAAAAATTGCGAGCCCTTACAACGTTTTCTGGATGGGTGCACTGAATTCTGAGGTCTTGTGTAGCTTGTTTAATTAATGTAGACGCTTGAGGGTATTGTCTGTTGGTTTGCCCAACGGAACTAATCATTTATGTAAAGAAATTCCTGAAGGAATCGGGAAATTGATGCACTTGAGATTCCTTCACTTGCCTTGGAGTAATCAATTAGAAGGGCTACCTGAAACACTTTGCAACCTACTTAATTTGGACTATTTGGATTCGACGGGCTGCCAAAATCTCAAGCAATTGCCAGATTCCATAGGAAAATTAATCAACTTGAGGTTTCTTTATACTGATGGTTGCCATGCTTTCACTCACTACCCAAAAGGTGTTCGGAGATTGACTTCTCTAAGACAATTAAGGGGGCTCATTGATAGCAATGATGCTAAAGAATTTAGCCTTGTCGATCTTGAAAACTTGAAGCACCTCCTTGTACTGCAGTTGAGAGTGGTGGGAAATTCAATCGATATGGAGCAAGCTAGAAAAGTTGAACTTCAGAACATTCCGAAGATATGGATATTTTTGGCTAGGAGTATTCAGAAAGCAGACATAAATGAAGCCTTAGACCCACATAAACATACTAGATTTAAAGTTCATTCACGACTACTGGATGGGCTTTTGAATACAAAAGGTAGTCTATTTATCAAATCAGAAAAATAAAGTGTAGTTCCCCTTAGGTAGATTCATTACACCATTAATAGAGGGGGTGGGCTCCCTATGGTTAACTATTTGGACTACAAAACATTCTGTTATCCCATATATATGTTCTTTCGTAGTTGGCCCAATGAGAAATCATCCTAGATATGTGCTCTTCAAATTGATATTTTTCTTCAAACATCGCGGCTTTCTAATTAAGCTTCCTCGCTAATACTAATTAAATTTGAACTTTGCTTTGCAGTTGAATGCTTGTCTCTGTGGGATGCAGCTTATTTTCCTAAGATAATGGTTTATACCATATGAAACAATAATGCTTCCAATTTTATAATACAAAAAAGTATTCTATTGTTAATACTACATGATTTAAACCATTAGATAGAGAATAAACTTTTGATATTATAAGCTGTCTCTCTAATTAATAATTCATGTTTTATAATCCAAACTATATTAAACACAAAATATGGATTCTTTTTAATTTATCGCCATAAAAACAAATATGCTTATGGAAGGACCACATGCATATTATGTAGGAATTGCACGTGCTTGTGGTAAGGAGAGATTTCGAATGTTGAGTAATGGGTTTTCTTCTATTGTTGGTGAATAAGGAAGCTGTTTCTGTCCATGAAGAGAAAATATGTTGTCTTAATTTCCAGTCATTTTGTAGGAATATTATGTATAAGAATTATTAAACTATGGGCTTGAAACGTATCGCGTTTGTAGCTCTTATTTTCTCTCATAGGTGTGAGATTTTAGTTTTTGGAATTTTATTAAGCAAGCAACCAGAAGGTTTTGTGGTAGAAAAGAAGCAACTTACTCGCTTCCTAGTTTGAGAAGTGTGTAATACCACCAACTATCAGGCCCGATGAGTGGTCCACGGCAGCTGCATCCCTACTCACCTGGTCAATGCCCATTGCTCGCTTTAGGAGGTTGACTGCCTATCCTATATCTTCCCATTTTCAAGGGCTCAATTCAATGCTTGCTTTCTTAGAGTCTTACCTAATATCCTAAACTCTAAACTCTATCTTAGAAACTTAGCCTTGACTCAACTCTAAACCCTAAACCCATGTTGAATTATTTTCCCCTAATTGTAGAAGTACCTACCAATCATCAATCAACAAAATAATTGATGATGGGTACATCCTCGATAACAAGTTGGAAGAAAAATCCTAACATTAATTCAAGAGCACCAACTCTGGAAAGGAAGAAATAAGGCAGCTGCCCCCACGTGGAAGACTTCGATCCTCTCAAGTCGTGCATACATACATAGAAAGAGCCAGGAAGGAATCCAAAGCTAGAATGTAGAATAATACACTAGGAAAGGGCATGTTAGAATGG